CGTCAACCAAGTTATTGTACACCGGCGCGAGTCCTGCTCTCTGGGCTCGGCGCAGATGAGCTCTTCGGTGGCTACGTGCGTCATGCTACCGCTTACTCCCGACAAGGCTATCCAGGACTGGTCGATGAGTTGAAGCTCGATGTAAGTAGACTTGGAAAGCGAAATTTGGGCCGGGATGATCGCGTCATGGCTCACTGGAGCAAGGAGGTGCGCTTTCCATATCTAGATGAGGCGCTTGTAAAATGGGCCATCGAACGTCCTGCTTGGGAGAAATGCGATTTTGCGAACCAAGAGGGGCCTACCGAACCTGGGAAAAGGGTCCTGCGACTTGTGGCCCTTGAGATGGGGATGCCTAGCGTCGCTGGCGAGAAGAAGCGAGCGGTTCGTTGAGCTCCGGTACCATCTCGTCCTTGGCTTACTAACTCGTCGCAGATTCAATTTGGATCGCGGACGGCAAAGATGGAGAGTGGTCGGGTCAAAGGGACGACATTAATATCATGAAGCGGTGAGTTCCAAATTGTGATTTTGGTGAACCCGAACAGCCTTAGCTCCTGGTGGTGATGATAGCATCAGATACTTCCGAGCCGGAGGGATCGATGCAGCTGAAAGCATCGTGCTAGCAACTGCGCTGTTTCTTTGAGAAACCCTTTGCTGGCCGATAATCTGCACCCTCTGGCAATGACGTCGTAAAGGCAAGTCTGAGCCAGGATAAAAAAGAGGAGCCTTTCGATTAGAACTAACACACTGAACCTGAGAAAGCTGACGTAGGCTGTTCAGTCTGGGAGATAATACGGGCTTACCCGTAAAGTTTACAAAGCCGTGCCGGAAAAGCCGCCAAGGGCACCTGTCAGGTTATCGCGATCGGCACTCAAGTGGTGGAGCGGACAAGGGGCAATCAGCAAGCGATGATACCACAGATCACATTGGGCTGTTTCACGTTTTAATCTGGTCTTGGCCCCAATTCAATTCGAGCCGCTTACAATCTGCATTACAACAATGTCTATTTAACGAAAGGAGGGCATCATGCAAAGTCTTTAATCCAGGTCACCAAGGTAGGAAGAAAGCTTTATCCAAATCGTCACTGACACACACCCATGTACAAATTGCTGTGCAGACCTGAGCGTGGGCGTCACCCTAGCAAAAGCTAAGCTGCTAGGGGCCGTTGTAGAAGCAGCAGGGCCTAGGCCCCACCGAATCCCCCTGGAGCTCAAACGAATCTAGGCTTGCTTCGACTGCCAGAACATGGGGGAAGAAACTGAGGCTTGACTCGATATAGATATCGTCGAGTTGATCTTCAAAACATTCTGCCAATGGGATTCCCTTCAAATTGCTTCTCTCTTAACGATGATGCTAGTTGATTCGTCATTTCCATGGGGCTTCTTCTTCCCTGCATCAGCCCTGAAGTATTAGAAGCTTGAAAAGTTGGCTGGCGCCTCCATTTCTTCTTCTCTTCAGTTCCAGATGAGACGATACAACTTGAAGCGACGCAACCGTTTGAGGCTCTGTGCGGAATAGGCAAATGAGCCGTTTTGAAGAAAGCATATTGCATAGCTGCGTTCAGGCCAAGAATCCTCTTTGTGCCGCCAGATTTTCGTCTACTCACTTTGAGGGCGCTAGATGATATCTCGAGGCTCGAAAGGTTCAAAGAGAGCGCCTTTGGAATCTCTATTGAGTAACGCATCAAGCCCACTACCATCCTGGGCAAGTGCTGTGTGTTATGATACTGCCCGAAAGGTGCGAACAGTGTTGCGCCTAGTCTTACAGAAATATGGCGATGGCAGCAGTAGAGGCGCCGCCAACTGCAGCGCCGATTCTTAGTCGGCCTGCAAATGTCAGCCGGACCTCGCACTTCAGTGAAGGGCTGGTGGACAGCTATGCTGCGGAGTCCATATATCAGGCCTCTTCAGATATGCACCATGACAGCTGCCATCTACGAAAGTGGATGCGTGTTTTCAATGCCCTCGTGCATATCACAGTTTGCATTCTACTTCTTATGAATATGGCCGGCTTCCTGGCTGAGTTTCAGGGGACATATTTCAAGTATATGACGTGAGAATCCGGCTCCTCTGAACCATCGGACATCAAATCTAACGTTCGTGTTAGGCCACCAGCAATTGCCGTGTGTGTACTATTAAGTTTTGACAGTGCAATTGACATCCTGTCTCTCGTCCGAGTACAATGGCAGTGGGGTGGCGGGTCACTCTTCTTACGCGCCGGTTGTGGGTTGGGATATTTTGCCGCCTTTTTGATCTACGTTACACGTGGATCAGTCTTTCCAAGCCAGTACTCTTACTGGGGCTTCGACGCGAAATACTCTGGGCCTGTTGTGTATGCATTCTTGTGGCTCATAAGGTAAAGCAGGTTCGACACTTTGGTCGCTCGATTCTAGCTAATATGGTCTGTCGCAGTGTTTGGGATCTAGTGCATGTTGGTTTTCATAGACAGGCGCTGGGAAGCGACGCAAGGACGTGCCTTGTGGCTGTCCGTTCAATGCGAAGACGACTCTTCAGTCACACAGCGGGCGCACCATGGTTCGCGTGGCTTCGAAGGCCCCGGCAAAGAACGAATGATCGGGTTGTAGATCTGGAGCAAGGCCAGACGAATGGAAGCAATTCAGCCCTGTCTGAGAGGCAGTCAGAAATGAAAATGGTGAGCACGACAACTACTACGATCTCTACGAGATCGATTGACGAAAGCCAATCAAGTGATCAAGAACCGGTCGAGATACGATCATGACAGTAGTGAAATGATACAAATAAAATCAATTCAGCTCTTCCTTCTTTTGTCTATTGCATCAAAGAATGATGTTGATACACTATGCAATCAGCAAACTCACGTTATTGAGCTCTGCAAACACAGCTACCAAAGCGACGAGGTAAGACATGCTTCAAAGTAGGTACAACCCTGGACCAATCCTGGACGGACCAGCACTGAAGTAGCCTTCACCAGTATCAGAACGTAATCGTAATGTCTCAGTCAAAGTTTTGCGGCAAAGATAACGAATCGCTTTCGAAACATTCATTCAAGGCATGCTCCGAATGCCGTTCTCCTCGATCTTTCTGCCCCTCTCATCATACACAATGACGCTGAATGCCTCATAATCGTTGCCATCGACTAGATGACGATCGTCATCGAGCTCAGACGGCAACATGCTATACAATCCTTTGCCCGGCTTAGGCCACGGCGGCGCAAATGGGGAATCCTCTCTATCATCTGCATCCTGATCTCCATCCTTGGACTGACTAGGCCCTTTGCCGTTTTTCTGCGGCGACTTTCCCTTCGGAGACGACTTGCCGCCATTGGATTGAACGCGACGAACGAAATTTATAGGGCCATTTGGATTCGCCTCGGCGCGGCTGAAAAGTCCATCAGTCGATGATCCTGCAAAGAACGACTTTGGCATGGTGGATTGTCGCGGTGATGCATCGTCAACGGGGAAAATGGGAAGGTCTGGGTATAGCTCAACAGAAACCATGAGCAGATTGAGCAACTCCGTGTGTGATAAGTTAGATAGATATGCTCGTTTCTTCAACCTGCGTTAGCCTTCATGGGCTTCTAATTGACGCTGGTACTTTCACACTTACCTGCCCAATTGGCCTTCCTGACCAACTTCCCCTAACCAGACCCTCAGAGGATGGTTTCTTCTTGACCATTAACGGAACCCGCTTTGCTTGACAGGCTGAGCAGAACCAGTTCTGATTGACGTTCTTGATGACTGAGTCATCGATCCATGGATCATGGCATCTTTGGTGCCATCCATCATTGCATCCATCACAGAACACCATCTGATTGTTTGATGGACTAGACATGCGTGTGCACAACTTGCAGAGCGCTTGCTCCTGGGTACGCTTGCCATAGTTGAGACGCTTCTTTGCCGTATCCATCGCTGCTGGATTGTACGCGGTCGGCTTGAGTACCTGCCGGCCAGACTTAGTCGTGGTAGGCGGTGCCGCAACTTTGTCTGAATTGCCACCCGCATCCTCGGCATCAGAGACCGACGAAAGGCTGCTGCCGTCGTCGTTACCCCTGCCTCTCTTGCGTTTCGTGCCGGCTCGGGATGAGCTCCTTAATGTTCTCGGTCTCTTCAACGGCTTTTTCCCAACACTAGGTTTGTTGAGCACTGCTTTCATTGGCAACCCTTTCCCGGTCAAGCCAGCGGTGACCCTCCTGATAGCACTCTCCTTCAAGGCTCGGCTGGGCGCACTCAATGCTTGCCCCTCCGTCCCCACAGACATACTTTGACCAGGCATTTGGAGACTGCTGGATACGTTCATAGACATGACGATACTTTCTCGAGCCTTCTCATATTCAGCTGGCTTGATAGATGACCTGGCGGCAGCAGAGGTGGATGCCGACGCCAGCGCCGAGCTCAAGCTGCTCGATTCCCCTTTCATTCTCTTCAGTATCATCTGCGTTGCGGCCGTAAACTGCGGCACATAGGGTGGTCGGGTGGGAGACAATGCCGAGGGCATCACTCGACGGGCTGGAGGCGGTGGGGTGGCCGTTGCAGATGGGACAGCAACAGCAATAATCCCAGCATCAGCACCAGCAGGAGCTGGGCTGTGCGATTGCTCTTTAGAGGCTATTGCCTCGACATCGCTGACAATAGGGTCGTTCATTGTGCCAGTTGAAAGCAAACCTAGAATACTGAAACATAGACTCTTGCTTCTTGATCGTCTGTGAATTGTTGCGTCAGCACCTTCATCGTCAACCTGGAAGCTAGCCCTATTGAAGCACTTGAAGTCATACCTTCCCGCGCGTAGAATGGGGCTGAATTGGCCGAATTGAGGCTCGTTCTCGGGTGTTGGGCTTACAAGTTAGAATATTCGTTGGTTTGGTCAACATTGAAGAGTGGCTCGTCCTCCAAAGTCAGATCACGAAGGTTCTCTCCGACGGCACGTGACCATCACATGACTCGAATGACCCACACGCGGACTTCTGGATTGTGCTGGACATGGTCCTTTTTAAAACCCTGAAGAAGTATATTTCTTATCATCATGCTACCTAATTACACCTCTATCTCTCAAGTCTTTGATTTGTGGTGCATCCAAACCTAGGTGGTCCTTGAGAACCTCATCTGTATGTTGTCCGAGTGTTGGTGGTGTGGTTCTTAAGCCGGGCTTGCTGTTGGAATATTTGACCGGCGTGTTCACCAATTTGATAGGTCCGCATGTTTCGTGCTCTGCTTCAATCACCATGTTTCTCGCCTTCGTATGCTCGTGATTGAGGGTGTCTTGGACATCATTCACGGCAGCATATGGCATTCCCTTTCCTTCGAACACCTCCAGCCACTCCTGGGTGGTCTTTTGTGTCGTGATCTTCTCAATTTCTGCTTCGAGTTCATTTCGATTGGCTACACGTTGCGCGTTGATCTTGTATTTGGGTTCGTCTTTCCATTCCGGCCGACCAAGGCCATCGCACAGGATGCCAAACAGCCGGTCATTTCCTCCGCCGAACAGGACATCACCGTCTTTAGTCTTGAATGCTTTGTAGGGTACAATGGAAGCTGAGTTGGTATTAGTTTCGACTATCATTCTTGTATTGTGGCGCAGAGACTCACGGTGTGCTGTGCCCCATCTTCCAGTATCTCGTTCGCCGCTGATCAAGCAGCTACTGGCGATATTTGCCAGTGTTGCAGTCTGACAATCGCTCAAAGCCACATCGAGGTGCTGCCCCTTGCCCGACTTGGCTCTGGCTAACAGGGCAGCCATGATACTGTTGCTCGTGTACAGGCCGGTTGTCAGGTCGGTCACGGCCACACCGACCTTCACTGGTGGGCCGTCGCGGGCGCCTGTGATGTGCATAAGGCCGAATTCAGCCTCAACCATGACATCGTAACCCGCTCTCTGCGAGTAAGGTCCTGTCTGTCCATATCCTGTGATCGACGCGTAGATCAAGCCCGGGTTGATCCTATGGATTGTTTCAAAGTCGAGCCCATACTTCTTCAATGACCCCGGGATGTAGTTCTCCACAAGTATGTCGCATTTAGCTGCCAGCTTATGTAGAATGTCCACTCCAGCCGGGTCCTGGAAGGAGAGCGCCAGCGACTTCTTATTCCGGTTTACCTAGGCTCAACGATTAACAGCCATTCAGCGATACAACTTGGCGGTATAAATCGCTCACGCCTAGGAAATAGGCAGACTCGCCTGGGCCATCATGGCTTGATCCGGACGTGTATTTTGCATATGGTGGACCCCAGGCTCGAGTGTCGTCACCACGAACGGGATGCTCGATCTTGATAACCTCGGCACTTGCAGACACGCCTTCAGCATAAAAAATTTAAGGAGTCAATTGACAACCACTCACCCCAAATCCCCCAAAATCTGGGTACAGTAAGGCTAAGATCCTATCAGTCATGATTGATATCAAATCAAGGAGATATATACTCACGCCAGCGAGGACTCTCGTCATATCAAGCACCCGATAACCTTCGAGCGGAAGAGGCCCTGCCGTCTCGGAGAGGCTTGCCAAACCACGGCGGTACCCCGCAGGCCGCTGGAGCTTCGCAATTGATGGTCGACAACATCCCAGCAGAGCCCGAGAGGACCGTGAGATGTTTGACACGCTTGAGGCCATCGTGTAGTGAGTTTAGACACCGCAGATCCTCAGCGTTGATATCTGCAGGTCAAGGCAGACCGCTTCGTCTTGAACTTGAGATGAAGCCAGAGACGGGGTCCGACCCCGTCGCCCTAGGTAGCTAGGCCTGCTGCTACCCCCTGGACCTTAGTGCTTTCGGTGGAGCACGGAGCTCAATCACAAGCTCCGATGACGCCGTTAGATCCCCACCATCTTAGCATTCCGGGGACACACCTCACTGGCGGTACAGCGGCATTTGCCGGCGGGAATTGGACACTTCACTTTCGACGATAACGGGTCAACAAAATGCATGTTTTCTTGGCTTCACTGTAGGTATCATCTATACTTCCTTCATGATCAAAGTTGATTTATCTCTGCTCATCAATGGCTGGCTGATCACAAAAAGTGGCCACCATCGATTCTCGGAGCCCTTGATAGCTTAGATAGCTAAAAACCGCCTTGATAGCTCATACATACAAATATCCCAATGGTTTTCAATCAGCTCTGTCTGGCCAAGCATCATATAGTCCTTCGTAGATTATTACATCTCCAAATGCCGTCTCGCCAGATCCTTCCTGGAAAAAGCGAATTTCCTTTGAGGAATTATACCAAGACCTGTTGAGTTAGCGGGTGCTTCCAACTTCCAAGACACATCTATCACTCACCTAGCCCAAGTGCCCAAGGCAAACCTGCTGTTAGCGTGCACCTCGACGACTGCATTATCGACTATGATAGTCAAATCAAGTGTTTCTACTTCTTCCTCGCCAGCCTGGACGACGTCGAACAATCGCAGTTTGCCAGCTTCGTTTCTTGAATCAATGTCATTCGTGGTTAAAGCCGCCGCGCTTGTGTTGCTCCGGTCGATAATGATAGACTCGTTGGAGAATTGGTAGTAAATTGTCGTCGACTCATACTCAGAAGCCAAGATCTGGAAGCCCGCTTTGAGATCGCTTCCACGAGCTGACTGTGGAAACTTGAGAGACGTCTTGAGAACATAGAACTTGGTATCGGGCGACTTCTGAAACGCTGCAATTCCAGAGGCGTTCACTGTTCGGCCAGGCTCGGTGGATGTCGTGCCGTTCAGCAGAGCAGCCAGCGGCTCTCTCGCAATCTCCTGTTTGAGAGTGGTGAGCTCCAAGACACCAGAGGTATTGCTTGCTATCCGCCATGACCCAGTTTCCCGTGAGAGGTCGTTGTCCACAACATTGCTGATTTTGCCTACGCTTAATTCTCGAGGGAGTAGCAGAGCACCTGTCCAGTTCTGTTGATTTGTCGCAGGGTCAAGGGTACCATAGAAGTCGCCAGTAAGCCATACGTATGAAATGAACCGATCAGGCGCACCGCTCTTACTTGACGCCAGTGAAGACGCTGGCAGGACTTTTCCAGCCGCGGCATATGCAGATGCGCCCCAGTCCAAACGTCCAGCCATGGTAGGCGTGAACTTGGCAGTGCCGTCCTTCAGAGAAACGTTGCCGGCTGCCCACAGCATGTCACGGAAGTCTGAGACCTGCGGTACAATAGGATCGAGCGACCATTCAGCACCTAAAGTGGTGAACACTTCACCTTCGGTATTGTATCCATCTTGGTCAAGGCTGAATACGTTACCGACTTCAAAATTGAAGCCCCATCGTCCAGCCCAGTCACCATTGCCCCAAGTTGAGTTCGCGGGTTCATGCCACCACTGGCCGAGCTCTTCCCAATATTGGAAGTCTGTGTCGTATTGTCGATATAGGAATTGGCTGGGACCATCGCCATGCACACCACCCGATATAATCACATACCAGGTACCCTCATCACTGCCGAGGAGCGAATCCAGCTGCGCGTTTTGAAAGACGTAGGGATCGCGGAAGCCGGTCACGTTGACTGCGAACGGCGGAGAGGGGATGACGGGTCCTTGTTCAAGCTTGGTGAAGTTACGTCCACCATCAGATGAGACCGCTAGAGATTGCGTCTCACTTCCTCTAGTGTAAGCAATGGTCCACTGAATGGGCAAATACGACACCGAGGTGTACAGCAGAGTTGGTTGCCCCCCAATACCACTAGGAATGACTGAGCCATCAAAGACGGCAATAGGGTCGTTCACACCGCCGGCAACGATGAATGGGGCTCCGTCGGGATTGAGATCGTGGTAGGTCACAAGATCATCGGTCGTAGCCCCGGCAGCACCACTGTGTAGCCAGCCAACGTGGAAGAGACCCGTTTCTGCATCAGTGTAATGCATACACGGATCTCCTATTTGACCAAATGGAGGTAAGACATGCGCTCTAGGTCTCCATGTCTCGAAAAGACTAGAGTTTGCAAGAGTTGAGAGGTTTGGCGGCGCCGCATTGTAGTCTATTACAGGCGGCTTACCTGTGCAGTTGCTTTGCCTGGCGGCAATGGCTCCGGCGGCAACGATTGGTGACAGCTTCATGACAATTGACTTAGACGCGAAGACAACCCTGGGCCAATAATATTTCGAGCGATCGGAGTCAGCTCGGGCGATGCATCTGCTTATCTATATGTTGAATGCTCTTGAGCCCGGCGCCACAGCCGGAGGGCATCCGGTAGCTACGATATTGTAACCTGGTACCGGCATGCGGGATCTTGAGACTTGGAGATGCTGCGGGGATGCCCAGGCCTTAATGCCCTGCCCATGTGGAGGTCCAACAGGGTGCGGACGAGTCATTGGAGAAATTTGGAGCAAAACATGGGGTATGTGTGGATTTCGGCCGTTTTATTCGGCAATTTTGTGGAGTTGTAACGACGTCACTAATAGAACATATGACTTTTTAAATACGCTGTGGGGGACAGTTGAAGACGATTCCTCTCTCCATGACTTGGTTGAATCCGTGAATCGGACTTGTCGAACTAATTAGAGCACGAAGTCAAGAGCATGTTTGCCCAGGGAAGTGTCGAGGCTGGCTTTCAAGACCACAGACACGCTCCACTCGCTTCTTGTCTGCTTCCAGTGTGTGACTTCTTGACGTTCCATGATTTTGGGATAAAATCATAAGCCAGGTAAGATCAAAGCCCATCGCTATTGATTCGGGCCTGCCCAGTTGTCTATACTTCCTGCTCGCAGAAATTCCATCCATCCAGCGTCGTCACCCATTACAACATTCGCAGCCTCCATAGGAGGCACATTCGGCCACATCATGCTAAAGACGCTGTTGATTTGTGTTTGAAGACTTTCTGCCACAGGTTGTTCCGCTGGCCACGTATCCATATGCGCTGTCTGCTCCGCAGTCTGATTCTCAATGGCAAGACCATTTCCATTATCGGGCTGGGCACCACCCCCCTCAAGTTGAGGTGTATTGAGGTATCTCCCACACAGATCAGAGATGATCTGATAACATCTACCCGAGCTTGCGTTCACAGGAGCCAATGCCATGATTGTGTGAAGCGTGGTATTGAGTTGGGCTCGCCAGTCGGGAGCAAAACTTGACGAGGGCTCATTGCGAAGGCAGATACACGGGATGAGAGCAGCTTGAAAAAGAAAATACCTAGAGAGAATGAGCCACTACAGCAGTGAATATTCGATATTGTTCTTACAGTGAATACCATGCGGACAGTCGGTTGTGCTCCTGTCGTCCCCAGTAATCCGCAATCATCTCGATCGTTGATTTTGCAGCTGCTAGGCAGCGATCGTATGCCTCTGTGCTAGCCGTATCGGAATCCGTGCGTCTTCTAAGTGCCTGGCGTATCACAAAGGATCGATACATAATAATGCGCAGGTTTCGTAGCCGCCAAGACATGACTGCTTGACACAAAGCGTATTTCGGAGGAAGTATAGCAGCCTCCGAGAAAAAGGACGGTAACGCAGCTTGCCAGCTTCCAATGAGCTCGTTATCTAGACGAAGGAGCTCTTCGGCTGATGGAAAAGGCTTTGAGATGACCTTTTCGTAGCATTCGTGCGTTGCTATATGGAATCGAGCTTGTGTTGTCACCGCCGTATACGGTGTGATTTGATTTGTCTCGGGGGGGTACGACGTAGATGCAGCAGTTAAATCCTATATCATGATTAGAACCAGGTATCACATTCAAATAGGTTCGAACAACTTACCTTATCATTTACATTCAGGGGAAAAGCAACCTCGACCCCCTTGTATGGCCACACGTCTGGTCGGCTAAAAGTGACCGTTGCCCCAACATCAAATACACATAACGACCACCATACTCGCCTACGGATTTCCATATTTAGTGGTGAGATATTCCACCCCTGAAACTCCTTATGTAGTCCTAAGCCCATGGCCATCCTCACAGCTAGGCCAAGATAATTATAGCCCGAATTAGGCTTGTCGCGCTTTTGCTGATAATTGGATGCGAGTGTCAAGGCTTGCACGAGGGTTAAATTCCCCAATTCCAGAAAATCAAAGCTTAGCATCGAACGCGCCTTCTCAAATAATGCCATGTCAAGCGTGTCTGTTGATGATGTAGCTGTAGTCCAGACACCAATTGCTGCCACAATGTAGGCTAATACTACCCAGCATGACCCGTTCGGACGACTGATAATCTCGCTGTACTGTGCACGGAATGTGGGCTCATGGATGATAGGATAGCTAACGTGATATACTCTGAAGTATGCATCGATCATCGCTTCTGCTACATGGCGATTGGGATTCGGTTGTGCCGTCAAGGGCAGTACATGTTGCGCAGTTTGCTGAGAACGTGAGTAAGTCTTCCAACGCGAGTTTGGCTCGAGAAGCCGCAGGAGGGCCGCGCCGGATGCAACTCCCAGGTAACCTGCTTCCCTTTCGTTGACAACTAAGGATGCCATCCCATCGGAGGGGCTCTCCTCCTCCACAGCTTCACTGGTTCCATCCGGCGACAGGCCATGAGGTCGTGTAGGCTCCTTTTCGCACCATTCAAAATCATCACGCGGTGTTCCCTCGAGCATTCTCTGATGATCTAATTCGGTGGGACGTGGGGCGTGCTCATTGTCAAGCCCGCTCTGCTGAGAGTTCAACGCAGATGTCGAGGTACTCCTACTTGATCCCGGCAGAACACCCTCAGCATTGTGATGCCTTGGTTCAGGAGCATTTGAGAAGTTGAACGGCTCTTCCGGTTGTTGCTGGTGAACGGCAGGCGGCACATGCCCCCCTTTCTCCCATGATCGAAGATGAGGTGGGACAAGTGTGCGCATGCGCTTAACAAGCGCCTCTGCTCTCTCAAGTTTTGTTTCAACCTCAGTTAGGTGCCTAGATTTGTATAGAAGGACCAGTCAGAATTTTGGTTTCGCGGGTTCGCACTTCTCTAGCAATCCTTACTTTCGTGTAAGTGGCGTCCTCGAGTGCTTCTCGTACAAGCAATGCCTCCTATACTTGATACAGACATCACATGTCGGTAGTGCCCGGTCACAACGAGCCTTTCTTCTACGACACTCTTTGCATGCCTCATCGGATAATCCAATATACGGCATGTCGGAAAGAGGGTCATTGTCAACTGCAGTTGAGGACAGTTGACCACTCGCCTGCGGTGCACTATGGACGGATAGGTTGGCATCCATGATGCATTGACTTGGTATCCCGACCTCCGATTGAAAGTCGACTGTCGCCTACGTTGTTTCGGTCAGGTTGACAGTCGATCGGAACTGGGCTCCGGTGCCTACAAGCTAATTGTGGAGATAGGGGGACTCTCGACCTTGGGACCAATGACGTGGGGAAACAGGGGCCGCGAGTCATGATAAAGGCACAGCGCTCGACGGGGTCTCCACGCTAGATCGATTTCTTGATTCAGGTTTGGGGCAGAAACTGGGGATCGCTCTCTAATTCTCGGGGGTAGCATAAACCCGCCTCGGCTCCGCTGCTAGTTCTCTCACATAGCCCAAATTGATGAACAATGGGCATGTGTCAGGTCTTTCGCAACGACCATTCAGGTGGACCAGTAGCATTTTGTGTATAACTTGTAATCCTAGCTGCACATGAAGGAGGACAAGAAGAGCATGTCTGACTCAACAGGAGATGTCTGCGGAAAGATGTATGTGGTGAAAGATGTTGCTGCCGATCAACACTCAAATAACACACTACATTGTAACCAAAACAGTGGAAAGTGGCATCAAGAGTTTAGGGGGTAAATGTTGTTGATCCGCCTCTGACAAGTCCTGTATAATAAGATTATATCTGAATGGCTCCCACTTCAATCATCAACGCAACACTCCGTTCACGATAATCTAATTTTCTTTTTTTCCCCGGAGGATTTGAATGGAATTGAGTCTTCTATGTCATACAAAGATAGATTGTGACGCAGCTATTATAATGGGCTAGTCTGCTCAGGAAATTCACACCTTCTCGTAATGGCTGACGTTATCAGCTGCGTCGTCGCCCATTTTGGTCTCTGTTGCTCGCACCCTGCTCTCGTTGATAGCATCTTCGCCATCAAATATCTTAGCAATTTCTTCCAAACTGTAACCCCTAGTTTCAGGGAAGAGATAGTAGGTGATGACGAGGAAGCAGAGGAGGAGAACACAAAAAACGATGTAGAATTTCCAGCCAATGTTTTCGAGGCCGATAGGATTTGTGAAGGCAGCGATTATGAGGGACCCATAGATAGCAAACAGTTCTACCGCAATTCCCTTTGCCCGAAGTGCGTAGGGGAAGATTTCGGTGGGATACCCCAGTAGGAGAGGTGTCCAAGCGATATCGTAATGGAAGAAGTAGATGAAGAGACAAACAACCACAACGATGCCAGCAGCCTTGTTGCCTGTATCGGAATTAACAGCAGAGCATGCAGTCCAGACAATATAGGAGACAAGCATTCCCACGCTCGACCACAGAAACAGCGTTCGCCGTCCAAGTCGATCGACAAGGAATGCTGCACTAAGCGCAGCTCCAAAGTTGAAGATTTGGAGAAGGCCATTGATGAGAGTCTGGTCAAAAGAGTCCGTGATTCCCACAGTGTTCAAAACCAGTGTAAGATAATAGCTCACGACGCCAATTCCATTCCACTGAGCGAAAGCGCCTGTACACACTGCAATAAGTGTTCTTTTGCGGTTGCCTGGAGTGCTAACAAGGGCTGACCATGTGGTTGACTTGGCTTCTTTGGAATCCTGAATCGTTTGGACAATCTCAGCCAGTTCACGACTAACAAGGGGGCTATTTTCTGTCACTGGGTCGTGATAACGGGTGAGAACGGCGCCTGCTTCGCTTGTGCGGTCCTGAGCCACGAGCCATCGAGGAGACTCAGGGACCCAATAATAGAATAGCAGCTGAACCAAAGGAAAGCCTGCTTGAAGTGCCGAGGGGATTCGCCAAGAGATAGTACTGTCGTGAGCCTGTGTTCCAAATGTTGTCCATGACGCGAGGATAGCACCCAAATAATAAAGAGTCCAGAATGCTGAAGTGTACTTTCCTCGATGTGTCGGGTAGGCCAATTCAGCAATCAACATTGGTGAAGGATGCACAACAAACATCCCACCAAACCCAACAATGACTCTTGAGACCACAAACATAGCGTAATTTACAGATGCAGCTTGTATGGCCGATGCAATGCAGATGAGAATTATTCCAGTGAGGAGGATGGGCTTGCGGCCAAACTTGTCTGCAAAAGTTCCAACGAGGGGCAAAGCTGCCACCGAGCCGATGGATTGAGCTGCATTGACGAGTCCGAGCCGTGCTCCTTGTGGGTTACCGAAGTAGTCTCGCCATTGCTCGAGAGACTGGAGGCCGTTCATTAGAGATCCTGAGGGAAAATCACGTCAGCGATTGTGAAGACTATTGACAGGCCAAGTACTCACCATCATATCCAGAGACGGAACTTGAAAGTAAAGGAACAAGGAGCAGAAGGTTCAGCTGTAGCAGATGAGGCTGTTGAAACCAGTATTTTTCAGTCTGAGGCAAAACTTCTGCCAGCGCCATGCCGACGATTTTGGCATCCCTTTCCACCTGAGAAGCCATAATGAAATGTCACCCGACTAGAAGAGGAAATGAGTCAATGAAAATTGGAAAACTGGGAATGCCTCTGGGCCAAGACGAAGGAGCCTATAGCTGTAACTTCTCTGATACTCGACAACGGAGAGACAACAAAGAGAGATCGACTCCATATATACACGCCAGAAACAATAACATAGACCGGGGTTAGGGAAAAGAGTGTATGTACACTTCAGCACCCCAGTGGGGATTTGATTTCAAAATCTGGAGAGAGGGGAACGATGTGGTGGGTCTGGGGGAGATGGATCGCAGTGACGCTATCGCGCTATTTTGGCGGGGAATGAATCCAAGCCTGGTTGACTGTCAACCTCCGCCATGACTCGCTAATCATTGCTCGGCGTATAGATAATTGCCTCGTAGGTATCGCTAATTTGGAGCTACTAGGCTGAGCTACGGGACTTCACGGCTGTGCTCCTGTTCACGTAGATCATGTTGTAGGACACCACTCAAACGAGCAATGAGGCGGCAATGTTTCAAGGAACAGGCTGGATTCTTACACGAATATGATTACGGGTGTGGAAGGGACTCATGGACAAAGTCTTTCCAGAAAATCATCTATTTCCAGCATTGTAATGATGGATCCGGAATAGTTGCTTCAACCACATTGTACAATTCAATGTGTTGACTTCATTCAAAGTGAAGGTTGGAATTTACTCAAACTTTCCAGGATCATTGCCTTTGTATCCTTGCATAGGGGGCTTTTAACCCCCGCTATTTCACCAAGTCATCAGATGACTGTCTGACGTTGACAGAGCCACGGAGAGACTTTATGGAGCTAGTTGTAGATCAAGCACCCTGCGATCCCGCGACCATGTGACAATAAAACCAGATTTGTTGAAATTACCAATGAAACCTATGCTTTGGAGTACTAATGACTTAAATGTCTGTAGTGTTTTCTTGAATGTAATATGTCGTTCTCGAAAGGGTTCCCACTGCCGCGATAAGGTACGCATTAATAGATATATGTATTCGAGCTTGAGACCGAAGTCATGAGTCCCTTGGACCTAGTATTATATTCCTCCTTGACTAAATGTTTTGCATCAGTTATAGACTCGTATTCCTTCCACAATATGACACATTGACCTTCATGTTTCCATATTTGTCGCAATCCATGTCTGAAATTCATATAGTATCAATCGGAAGCACTCTTGAACAACGTTAACGTTACTTTTGTTTTCATATTTAGACTATCTGCTACATTTACCTAGCTGTATAGCCGCCATCGACAACAAAATCCGCTCCCGTAGTGTAGGAGCTGGCGTCGCTAGCAAGATACAAGTATACGCCTTTTAGCTCCCTGGGATCAGCATCTCGCATCATTGGGGTCAAACTGAACCACTCCTCCTTCATCTCGAATGGGCAGTCACCAGATATGGCGGTATCGATATATCCAGGACTGACTGAGTTGATCCGTCCTCCCCACTTCGCCCATTCAACTGAGAGACTCTTGGCGAGATGAATGCATCCAGCCTTGCATGCATTGTAGCAGCTCTGCTCTTGAGGAACATTCGCAGCATGTCCACTCATGCTTGCAGTGATAATACCAACACCGCGCTTCTGTTCACGGAAGACACGGCCAGCAGCCCGCATGCAGTAGTATGCACCATCAAAATCGATAGCACGGACATTGTTCCAGTCCTCGATCTTATCATCTAGACCGCCAGCCTTGGTGGGAATGCCGGCGTTCGCAATCATAACATCAAGTCGACCAAAGTCGGTAACCACCTGAGCAACTGCGCCTTCGACTGCTTCATGACTGCGAACATCCACTTTATAAGTCTGGACTTTGACACCAAAATCTGAAGCAATCTTAGCGGCCAGTTTCTGTGCCGTCTGAGAAGTGTGATACCACAGAGCAAGCTGAGCAGAGATAATAATCACTTAGCAATTTTGCATCAACAAAAAAAAAGGTTAGAATTCGTCTCTTACATTGGCTCCAGCTTCAGCAAGGCCTCGAGATATTTCGTAACCAATGCCTCCGCAGCCTCCAGTGACGATAACGGTCCGACCGTCTAATCTGAATGACTTGAAGACACTGTCCTCGACAGGAGGGTTCGGTTTGCGGATGGACTGCCGTCCATTTGTACCGTTAGTAGCTGCCATTGCACAAGAGTATTTTACAAAATTTGTTTGACAGATTTGATTTCTGTTTATGACAAGAGCTTTGAAATGAAATCGAGTTCGCTCTGTTTTGGAGAATAAAGACCCTGCCTGAACTTGAGATAGCACTTTCCAAAAGTTCCCAAGCTGATGAAATGCCTCCTCATCTCGATCTATGTATCTGTAAACACCGGCGAGTTACACCGATTAGGGTGACTTTCACCGTGACTTGACTCTGGGGCCGCTAAGCCAACGCACTAGCTAAATCGTCCAAATAGTAGCGGGAGGTGACAGTCACCTTTCTCCATTGATTGTCAGGAACGTCAATGCACATGATGTGTGTAGTGTGTTCTGGTTCCTAACCCGTCTTGGAGAATGGACATGGGAGCAGTGCTCTAAGCAGGGCAGTCGATGATTAAGTTGAGAGTATAGATGTGTTGTCCACTATTCACTTGCACAGAACGTCACTCAAGACCGTGTTCGATGTGGAATACTGAATTATAGGATGCGCGGAGTTTGTATTGTGTTTCTAATTATCTCGTAAATCAGGGCTTCCTTTGCTCTATACTGTCGATCAGAACATCGAAGCGGCCCTGACTATGAATCATGACATATTTCCCATTCACCATGTCATTTTCTTCAGCTCTTTTAAGTGCTTTCTCCATCGTATCCTCAATGCCTGCCTTTAGGTGCCGTCTAGCAACTCGATCTCTGGCCAGTATTGGGTCGACCTTGACAAGCCATCTGTCATCAACAAGGTCTGCGATATCGCTCCAGGGGGGCTCATCGCTGAGCAGGTAGTTGCCCTCCAGAAGGCATACTTCAACATCAGGGCCGACTGTCAGCCCATCGATAACGGGATCCTTGACCGCGTGATCAAATGTAGGGGCGGTGACAGCGTGCTGGCCGCTTCCAGACCGAAGGCTCCGGACTAAGTTGACGATAGCGGCACCATCGAAAGTCCAGGGTGCGCCTCTTCTAGCTATTGCTTCGGCTGCATTAGGAAGGCCACGTAGGGTAGCTAATGAGAGATGAAAGCCGTCTGCGGAGATAGCAACAATAGAGGGGCTGAAGGGCAGGGCAGCCACGTGCTCCACGATGTGCCTGGCGATCGTCGTCTTTCCAGACCCAGGGGGTCCAGCCAGGGCGATAATGAGCCGTTGGCCTTGTGACTTCTTCTCGAGCCATTGAGACTGCACGCGCTGGGCTAAATCTTGGTAGGTGGCATCCATGTTTGCGATTGGCTGGCTCGTTTTGATATCATCTTTACAACGTCTTTTGGGGTCTGTCTCATCGCTATGCATATATCTTTGTGTGTCGAAGGTGTGTGTACTCCGATAGTTGACTGTATGCTGCTGTGGGGAAGCGGCGGGTCTTTGTCACCCTTAAGCCTGAGTAGCGGTTGAGAGACCACCCCCGCAAGACATCGTCAGATACCTAAACAATGAATGAAAAGGAACATGAGAGCCATTACACATGCGTTGCTATTTGAGGTGAGCCTTCTTGCATCATCTCATTTCCTTCTCAAACTCATAACAAATCACCATGACGGAAGTAGTGAGTCAACATCTTATAACCTCCGTGTCCTGTTGATTAATGCTATTTGACTAACATGATGTAGAATCGAGCATTTGTTCTTCAATCGATTAAGAACGTCTCGTTCGAGGATCGCCCAGTTCCTTCACTTCGTGATGAGCACGATGTGCGCATCCATGTAGAGCAGACTGGCATCTGCGGCAGTGATGTGCACTACTGGCAAAGAGGTCGCATTGGTGACTTCATCCTCCAGAGCCCAATTGTGCTTGGCCACGAAAGTGCTGGTGTTGTTGTTGAGGTCGGTAAGAAAGTAAAGAACGTTAAGGTCGGTGACCGTGTGGCAATTGAGCCTGGCGTGCCCTGCCGGCGATGCGACTTTTGTCGGTCAGGCGCGTACAACCTTTGTGAGGACACAGTCTTCGCAGCTACACCCCCTCATGATGGCACACTGCAAAAGTACTACACTGTCGCTTCTGACTACGTCTATCCTATTCCCGAGCATATGTCTGCCGAGGATGGTGCTCTAGTAGAACCGGTCGCAGTTGCGGTTCAGATCGTCAAGGTGGCCGACCTCCGTGCTGGACAAAGCGTTCTAGTTTTTGGCTGTGGACCTATTGGTGTCCTATGCCAGGCTGTAGCCAAGGCTTCCGGTGCTAGCAAAGTCATTGGCGTGGACATTTCCGAGTCTCGAGCACAGTTTGCACGAGATTTTGCGGCCGATGGTGTCTATGTGTCGAACACCAGCGCCCCTGAAGGAACAGATCCCGTGGATGCGGCTCGTGCAGTGGGCGAGAAAATTGTAGCTGAATTTGGACTTGGCGAAGGAGCAGACGTTGTGCTGGAGTGCACTGGTGCAGAACCGTGTATCCAAGCAGGGATTTTTGCTGCTAAGAAAGGTGGCACGTATGTTCAGGCGGGAATGGGTAGAGAAAATGTTACTTTCCCCATCACGACAGCATGCATTCGGGCCCTAAATATCAAAGGCTCTATCCGCTACTCTACTGGATGTTATCCCCAGGCTGTTAAGTTGATCGCCAGCGGAAAGATTCAGCCAAGCAAGCTTATTACCCATCGTTTTAAGTTCGAGCAGGCGGTTGATGCATTTGAGCTGGTGAGACAAGCTCAGGAGAATACCTTGAAGGTTATCATTGAGGGCGTTCAAAAATAATGGAATACGGACATCAGTTAAGCTCGTTGCTCTATGTATTATTCACTGTCTGCCATTTTTGTAATCGTCAAGTGTCTCACAGCATTCTATATTTATGTCCTGTGCATTTCTATACCAGAATCTAATCTGGACACTAGGATACACGGTATCACCTTCAATCAATAATTTTCAGGTCACATTTGCTCTGAAAACTTTTGAGAGGCATTCATCACGATACGCATTTTAGATACGAGTGCTAACCTGTAACCCCAACATCTCTGACCTCATTAGCTCCACTCTCCTTAATTTTGCGGAGGTGGTCGACAGTCACCCATAACCCGGAGACTCCACAATAGAACACAGTTTCTGGGGTCACCTGAAGATTCTAGTCGTGCTCGTGGTTTGATGAAATGGACAATACGGGCGGGATTGGACCTTGTAGTCTACAAATTTCTACTTGTGAGAGTGCGGTTGTTGGACAGGTTGAAATACTATACTTTCCTTGATCCTCACTCCCAATAATATTTTGTCAGACCCAAAGCTGCTTTGTGACCAATCAAATTACTCAGATCCATCCCCTGAAGCCATTGCAAGCCGCTAAGAAGATCGCAATCATGGTTCTCGCTGAACATCCGAATCCCACTGCTCCAGTGCTGTCACACTTCTCCCTCGATGGAAAAACAGCACTCGTGACTGGTGGCTCCCGAGGCATTGGCCAACAAGTCGTTGTTGGGTTTCTTGAGGCCGGCGCTTCGGTTGGCTTTACCTACTCATCAACCTCCACGAACGAGGTATCATCGCTAGTCAAGTCACTATCATCTGCGCACCCAGGCCGTACTATCAAGGCCTATCAGTGTAACGTCACAGACCGCGCTTCCGTTGTTGCTGTCACAGAGCAGGCAGCTAAGGATCTTGGGGGGCTCGACATCGTGGTTGCGAATGCTGGTATTGCAGACCATATTCCTGCAGAGGACTACCCCGAAGACAAGTTCAGAAAGATACTTGATGTGAACTTCCATGGGGCTTTCTGGACAGCACAGGCTGCTGCCAATGTCATGAAGGGCTCGAAGACGAGAGGAAGCATTATCTTCACCGCCAGTGTCAGCGGCATTCTTGTGAATGTGCCACAGAAACAGGCCGCTTACAATGCCAGCAAGGCAGGTGTGATTCATCTGGCCAAGAGTCTGGCCGTTGAATGGACAGATTTTGCGAGAGTCAACTGCGTGTCGCCAGTGCGTACCTCAGAGGTTTCGTTACTTTATTGAATGCTAATAGTTACCAGGGGTTCATTGCAACCGAGATGCTAGATGTGCACCCCAAGGAGTGGAGAGATAAATGGTTTGGCATGATCCCAGCTTCGCGATTATGTCAAACCTCCGAGCTGAAAGGCTCGTACGTATACCTCGCCAGCGATGCGAGCAGCTATATGACTGGTATGCACCAGAACTATCCCAGCTACTTCCAGATGCTAATAGAGGGTTAGGCGCAAATCTCGTGATTGATGGCGGTTACACATTGCCATAGAGTCTAAGACCCTAACTAGATAAGATCCATTCCATGTATCCAATTAAATCACATTTGATTTTTTAAATCTACTATGCTGCAAGACAACTCGAGACTTCCGTGAGAATTGCTGCCTTGCATCTTCTGTTATCATTTCCGCCTATATCATCAGGCAGGGACCGATACATACTCAAACGTGCTGAAGGGACCAATACTTCCAGATTGAGCTTCGGCAGGGCTGTTAAAGCTTTGTCCACAACCCTTTCTTGGTGAAGTTTGGCTGTCACCTGCTAATTTAGGTAAGATGGGTGTCAGATTTTCCATATTTCATTCGACTCCTATCTTGATGTTCTTTGCATTTTCCAGACTGGTTGGATCCAAATCGGCAGAAGTTCGCTTACGCGACCCAAGTAATTGGGTTGCTATCTCGTTGCCTGGGGGGCGATTGTTTTGAATTTTCAGGCAACAACTTAGCACCACACACAAGTTGCGACATTGGACATGTCGGAATCATTTCGGTATTTTAACAATCAACAGAATAACTATAAAATTCATTCGTGTAGTAATTCTAACTGAAAGCCCTCGGTTCAAAAACTTGGTGACTCTTTTCTCCCTTGGAACTATTGAGACATGGAGCAGTTAATGATTGACAATGCCGAGCGATATCGAAAGCTCGTAAGAGAGTACAAGCCAAAGCCTAGAAATGCCAAGGATAGCACCACAACAAGCGCTACAGAGAACATTGTTGTGAGCACGCGAATCCGGCCGCTCCTAGAAGATGAAATCTCAGCAGGGTTTCCAGCTGGCGTATTTGTCCGAGACAGTGAAGATGGCGTAGTCGATATCCACGAATTGAGACAAAGAGTCAGGGGTCCACCAACAATCACGGTAAGACGAATCAATCTCAGGGGCTGTGATTCTTTCTGACGGCAACCCATTCAGTCATCAGATTATGCCATAGATCACGTCTTCGGTGAGAATTCAACCACAGGTGAACTATATGAGTTGTTAGTCAAGCCATTGGTTTCATGGGCCTGGAGCGGCGGCGTTGCAACTGTATTTGCATACGGGCAAACAGGTTCCGGAAAGAGCTTCACGGTCAGCGGGCTTGAGCGACTTGTTGCAACAGATCTCACCGGAGGTCAGCTAGAAGGTGAGAAGAAGGTCTATGCTTGCATCGTTGAGCTTGCAGGCAACAATGCCTACGGTAAGTACAGTATTGTTTCTGTTGTCTCGAATTCATTACGAGACTAAAACTTCGCATCCCAGATCTTCTCAATTCCCGCAAACAGATATCCGTCCTTGAGGATTCATTTGGAACAACACAATTAGCAGGTGTCATAGAACATCTCGTCAGCGACACCGAAACCTTGCTCAATTACATCGAGACTGCGGCCTCTTTCCGGAAAACAGAAGCAACTCTCAAGAATGACACATCGTCCCGTTCTCATGCAATTTGTCGTCTCCGCATTGAGAACACTGCAATACCGTCGGCACAAGATGGCACACTATATCTCATTGACCTTGCCGGGTCAGAGGCTGCTCGAGATATTGCCTCCCACGATGCGAATCGCATGAAAGAGACACGTGAGATTAACAAAAGCCTATCAGTGCTCAAGGATTGTATTCGTGGTAGAGCAACTTTGGATTCTTTGTCGATTGCTGGCAAGCCTCCGAAGAAGCCATACATTCCTTTCCGCCACAGTGCTCTTACCAAAACCTTGAAACATGTCTTTGACCCTGCGGGAACTCGTGGCTGCAAGACCATTGTCATCGCATGCGTCAATCCTTGCTTGGCCGATATTGGTGCCAGTAAGAATACTCTACGGTATGCAGAGCTGCTAAGGGTTGTTGTGCCGAAGGCGGGAACTTTGAAGTATGACCCTGCTTCACCATCGACATGGTCCAATGAGCAACTCAAGCAGTGGATTGAGAACAATGTAAGTCTTTTCTCCTTCATTCCAAAGAAACCGATATCTCACAGGATTATTCATCAGTCCGGAACTCCAGCAGTTTCAGGAGCCATTCTTGCTCCTACCGAGTCTGGACAGCAACTCCTACGCCTGCCAATCCCCGAGTTCTTGGGTCGGTGCCTTCGAACTCCCGGTATCATTTTAGAACAAGCACAAGCATTTCAGTCTAAATTCTGGCAACTTCACATCGACTCCCAACGCAGCGCATCTACGACTGCTAGTAATCCCAGTGTGGCTGTGACTGAATCCGACGATCATCCACTATTCTTCAACTCAAGTTTTGATTCATCACCTGGCGCACAGTCCATTCCTTTCAAGGAGCGCATTCGACCTGGTATGGTTGTCAGTTGGACTCCTCCAAGGGGAGCTCTACGCTTGACTGGATTGAACATGGTTGTCGTCTTGTGTCCGGCGTCAGCCATCCAACCGGGATCACGGGATCTTCTAGAGCGAGAGATAAACATAGAATCTGGAGAAGGTGGCGGAGAGTCAAAAAGATGGCTTTGCGCAATGGTTTCCCCAGCTATTATGTCTGGGGCATATGACGTGAGTCTATGGCGACAAGTTGCCATAAATGTAGATCAGATGGAGACGGAAGTCGTGTTGGAGTATGATATGGGCACCAGGTACTATTACATCAAAGTCTAGAGTACTGATCTCCTTAGCCTAGAATGGTTTAAACATGCGGACCCTCATTCATAGAATAATATTCCCCTCCTCTTAGCTCACTTTTAAGTCAAGTTGCTCATTATATATACTAAGCCCTCTTGACAGTCTACTTGACCCCGAGAGAGCCTATCCCAACCACCTTCGACTCCATCTTTATCACTTATTCCCTGCCCCTGAACAACACGAATATCTGGCATGAGAGTATGACTGACCTCGAGCCAACCGTTCCAGGCCCTGCCGAAAGCCTTATTGAAGGCCTCTGCCCCAAGGGACCCAGTAGCGGCATCACGAACTCCCGAAGCGTTGAATTGAATCTTACCAAACTTTGACATCTCTTGGGCCGCTGCTTGTTGGTCTTTGTTTGAGTATACCTAATTCACATAGTTTAGAAGATTGTAACAGCAGCTCCATGGTGCTGCGTACCTTCTGCTGGCTTCCAACTTGGAGAATAGTCATTTTTACATCTGCTAAAGCTCCTCTAGCCTTCACGGAATCGACTAGACTGGCAAGGGCATTCTCTCTGGCACCAAAGTCCACGACGACAACTCGAGACGGGTTGAGTCCCGCCACCCATTCCATCGTGTCACTTATATTAGAGTATGATATTGCTTTAGTCGGTATTGGTGATTTCAATATCTGTGGCACATCGGCGATCAAGGATGGCGAGGATGTGACTTGCAGAAATCCCAGAGGTCCCGATAATTTCGACCGTCGCAGTACATTGTATGCAAAGGATCTGGCCGTCTTGCCGGATGCTGAGAGGCTGACTAGAAGAGTGCGCGAGAGGTCTGCATCGGCCGTTGACCACTCACCAACACCTAGCGGATGAATTGATGCTATACTATCGTCCTTCGGAGAGAAGACATGCTGGCTGATCAGATAACCACTCTGCCAAGTGGGTCGGAAGAGAGCTTCCCAAGCCATATTTTGAAGCTCATCTTGTCCTATTGTGGGATTCAAGGGGCTCGCGAGAGTCTTTCCCGTCTCATGGTAGATATTGTAAAGCGTCATCATCCTTTGACGATGTTGACTGACTTCCTTCCAGCATCCTGCTGGCTTTGTAGGCTTCAAGTCAAGAAGAACTAACATGTCCGCAGTTGGCCAGAATCCCCAGAATACTGTGCCTTGGGGTATAGCAGAGTTGCCGGATCTTACGACCACGCCATAGCCCCACGCTGGAACTATGCCCCAGGCCGTGGAATCATTGTAAGGAGGAGGTGCATCTTCAGGGACAGGATATGCGTCCCACCTACAATTGTACTTGTTAGCAGATAACAAAGATGATTTTTGTCATCAAGTAACGAACCAATGCAGGAACTCTCCTGCTCGAGCGTAGCTGAGATTGTTTGACGATAGGCTGACGAGTAATGGCCGAATTTGGAGCTGGGATGTCAAATGCGTATCCACCGATGCAGCAGAGCTAGGCTTAAGGGCGAAGGCTGCATGGTGGCCGTTATCAGCCTTTGATACTACATGAACTTCCATATTTAACGAGGCGCGACGATCAGTCAATGTGATTCAGTAGATTCCAGTAATTGACCTTCTACCTATTATCCCATTCGACGTGATCGGTCTTCCGAGCATACCGAATTCAACGCCTTTCGCGGGCCAAGACGTCACATAACGGCACAGTACGGCGTGTTAGTACGTAGCCTATTGGATAAGCTAAACAATAACGGCTGCATCCTCTAGCTCAGGATATCCTGCCAGCTCGAGGGGGCTGTTGCCTAGCCGTTGACTACAGGACTTAGGATTGTTCGGCCGAGAGCTCATACACTTGAAGATCGCCGGAGTTATCTGTTAAGTTGTCTGCTCTTCCTTTCACATCACCAGTTTGCCTCGCCGCATCAGCCTCTGACTAAACAGAGGCATGTTGCTCAAGCTCCCTAACCGAGAGATATAACAGCAAGATCGTCAAGGCTCGGCCATCTATGGTCGGACATGGCCACACTACTGTGCCACCTACCTTGCAAATGTTTCTTTTGTTACAACCGGTGAAGCTCTCGGTGAGTGTGTTCTATGAAGGCAGAGGAATGCTGCGACTATAACTGCTTTCTCCGATGGCTCATATTGTCACCTGTAACATCTTACCTATGCTTGTAACGTACGGCAGCTTCCCAGCGATTGCACATAGGTATCTTACAGCGTTGCTGTGAGATTATTAGCCATTGTAGTAGCCAATCGCAAGAGCCGCGTTTGTCGTACGGTCGAGAAATATAGTCAATATCATTGCCTTGCTTATCGATGAAATAGTCGTACTCCCATATCAGCTCGGTCAAGTCAATAGCCGTCGGTCGCTCAGTCTAGCCCCCAACGGTGACGTGCGACAGCTGGGGTGATTGTCGCAACATCTACAAGGACACTCTCCTGATCTCTGGTGATAGCACTGATAGGAAACTGATGTACTGCGGTCCTGAAACATCTCCACACAAGTTTACAAGTAAATCCTTGCTTTCAGGGTGAAGAGGCCGCTGGACTGTAAGCTACAGGACACAGTTGCTTTATTTGAACTGAAGTGCGATCATCTGTTCCCCCTTTGGTCAGATCGTCCGATAGCTTCACGAAAATCGTGCATCCCGCCAGCTTACTCCCGCCCGTCCAAAGTAGGTAGCTAACAGCTTGCCCATAAGATGCTTATATGTTCTCCCGAGTGGGGTGCTCCGCCCCCTAGGGCGGCCTGTTCTGATAGGGCCGACGGTCACTAAATCGCCCCGGACTATTGGGGGCTGGCTCGCTAACCGTGTCTGAGGCGTGGTAGTAATCGCCCAACGCCGTACACTATCAGGTGAATGCGCCAGCGAAGCCACGAATCCTACGGCAAGGTGCATGAACCCCCGGAGGACCGTATGCGCAACACACCCTTCTAATTGGGCATGTTAGTTGATATGCCCTAGCTGAGGGCGTTTTACGCAGTCCGGGTAGCACCATCTCGTGTAAGTGAAACGGCCCAATTATAGCAACGAAGGGTTGCAATACGGTTGATCCCGCCTGGAGTGGGTGTATATCCTCCAGGGATGGCAGGTGAATATAGGGCAGCTTCTGGGTTGATGGGCTGGTTGATCGTAGGTAGGTCGTTGGACGGACGAGTGTGCAACTGATAATAACTGCCTTCTCAATCGCACTTCAGTTTGTACCTTGTCGCCCACGCCCCGTGTCATTTATTTGATAGATATATATGGCCGGATTGGCCCATCCTCTCGAGTGACTCTCCTGGCCATGCCATCTTCCCCCATTGACTTGCCTATATCAATTAACGGACATTTGGTCGAATGACTTGGCAGGTCCATTGAAGACGTCCTCGCAAAGTGAGAGCAAGATGCATTCACTTCCTCATAGTCGAGCCTATGCTCGCAACGATCTATTTTCAACTTCGACAAATACAACAGAGAAACCACAAAATATGAGCCCTGCTCATATTTGGATGCTGATAGGCATCGTGGGCGGCATTGTCGTCCTGGCTATAGTGGTTGCATTCGCAATGACCTACCTTCTCAGGCGCCGACGGCTGCGCCAAGCACAACACAATGACCCATATCTATCCCACAAAGACTTCACCAGGAGACGAAGGAGACGAAAGATGAGCAAGGCTGAGCGGGTCCAAGAAGAGGAGCTTGAGAGACGAGCCATCATCCGCAAGTCTCTTGCTAGCAAGACATCTAGCAGGACCAGCCAAGCCATATCCGAACGGCTGAGTATGGACGACGAGGCAGAAACAAGCCCGACAAACAGCCTCAAAGACGATTGGAAGGAATGGGAAGCGCGACTGCAGCGCGAGCGGTCTAACTCGGTTCAAGATCACCCTTTGATATTGACTCGCCTCGATATGGCTATTCCAAGTCAAACAAGATCACAATCACCAAGCCGAAGAGCAGCGGTGATTAGCAAGACAGCTTCTCGTCCGGCGACGCTTCCTTCGCTTCCTCCGCTTCCACCACTGCCGGCGGATTGAGTTGGGCAAATGCATGGAACAAATGGAAGGATCAGTATAAACTGCCGAAAAGCGTTCGGCATTGATGTGCAAGCCTACCCAGGTCGGACGGTCGAGGCAATTACCACAGCCACAAACCACCACGGCTCCGCCGTGTCTCGAGACAAGCCGTATCCATGATCGGATGAATGTATACTAAAAAGCAAAAGTGTTTGTCACTATTTAGGTAGCTTGATTAGATTGTTGTATTAAACTCCAGGGTTGCTCCATAACTAGCTTGTGTGGCTTATCACACGTACTGGATTGGACAGGCAGAATCCATGGTGGTGACTTCCAGTTCTTCGCTGCATTGCTTCTCAGCTTCGGCCTGGACCAATACACGTGACAGGCTGGCAACAGCCTTGCATGGTCATTGACTGCCCTCAGCTGAACTTCATCTCTTCAATGATCCCTGAGGATAATTCAGCCATCAAGGCCACCCGTCACCCAATGGCTCGTCATAGCTAGATAGACGCATGGCTGAGTTGTATGGCTCGATCGAGCGCTTGCCCGGCGGCCCGCATATTAGACTACTCAAGTTGCTTCCGAGCTCTAGCTTTGATGATGAAGTTCAAACCAACCTAAGCGTTTTTCCACTGGAAGCACTGCCGAAGTACGAGGTACTCTCGTATGTTTGGGGCGATACAACAGTGAAGATACCAATCCGGTGCAATGATGTTTCCGTTTCTATCACTGAAAATTTACTTTCTGCGCTCAAGCACCTGCGCCTCAAGGATGAGTTGCGCATCCTTTGGGTCGATGCGATCTGTATCAACCAAATCGATTTATCGGAACGAGAGAGTCAAGTGGTCCTAATGGGGCGTATTTATGCTTCAAGCGAGACGACACTAGTATGGCTTGGAGAGGCTTCGTCAAGCACAGAGGACGCGATAGCTCTCTGCACCGCGCTGTCAACCGGAAACCCAACCGGGTATCCCTTCAATGACTCTGAAGGCCACCGCGTTCTTCGGGAAGAAGAACGGCATTGTTTCATGGACATAGTGCGAAGACCTTGGTGGACGCGTGTATGGGTAGTTCAAGAGGTTTGCCTATCACAGAAAGTTGCGCTAGTCATAGGCTCGATGACGATGCCCTGGGACGTCTTCGACGTTGCAGTAATGGCGATTACGGATTTCAAGATGGATGATTTTCGCGAATCCATGAGCTAAGCTCTTCAAGCTGCAGAGGTAATGAGGCTTCTCTTTGTAAGAGAATTCTTCTGCTTGCTGTTGATGAGGTTCATGCGCGATCGCTTTCGAAAGGCCGATTATCATGATGAGCTTTTGACCAACCTCGTCCGCTTCCGAGAATTCGATGCTACTGATTCGAGAGACAAGATCTACGCACTGCTAGGTCTGACGAATGGTTCCGAAACTCTCATACGTCCAGATTACACTACGCCCACGGGTGAATGCTACAAGAATATAGCATTCTCAATTATTAGTACCTCTCGTAACCTCCTCATATTCAATATATCATCTTTTGGTGGGCGTTCCCAGAACGCAGATCTGCCGTCCTGGGCATTCGACTGGAGTTCCCGACTGCCCAATCACTTTGGGAGCTCGTCGATTGACGAGTCATTATATCCTTTTGAACAGGATGAGAAACTACCTGTACCATTCAATGCTAGTGGCCACAGTCACATATTCACGGTTGAGAGAAAGGGCTTAGACTCGCTCTGTCTCAAGGGAGCTGTCATAGACTCCATTGTCGCGCTTGAGAAAGTGATGAGGGCACCACAAATTGACACAGATACCAGTGCTCCCGATATCGATAATTGGTCAGATGTAATTCCCATGTTTGGGATGATCTTTGGTCGTATCGGCCGGAACATTCACGAGTTGTACAGGTTCTATGCAACTATAGACGACTGGAAGCGATTTGGTCAGTCGCTCAAGGCATATCCGACGGGCGAGCCACCAATGCAAGTCCTCTGCGTTACTATCAGTCGTGGGGTTGCTTGTAGAAACATAGAGCTGTACACTACAGAGTTCCTGAAAGCGTGGAGGGCCAGAGCACCCGGTTTTCGATTCTTTCGTACTCTTATGTTACCGTTTCGCCGTTGGTTCCCTCGATTGTACGAGTTCCTTGTCATCCTACCATTTCTGATACATGGCGCATTCTTTCCTCGAGCAGGGCTTTTCTTAGCCATAATCTTGTCAAGGGCTACAGAGCGACGACTTGCTCGAACGCATGAAGGTTACTTGGCACTCGTCCCAGAGTCGGCGCAGGTCGGCGACTGCATCGCGCTCCTGCCTGGCGGGATTACACCTTACGTTATCCGCGCGAACGGCCTGCAATGGGAACTCGTGGGAGGGAGTTATGTACATGGAATCATGTTTGGAGAAGCGTGGAGCGATGAGAATTGTCACGAGATGGAGTTCGTATGAGACTTGATCTGGAGTGATGGACAAGGGTGCATCGTTGTTGAACAATTATAATGTACCATAGTCACTAATAATGCTGACACCACAACAGCGAAACTTGGCGTAGAGATATTTGATCCTTCAAGATCCGGGATCAAATATGAGTTGAAGAGTAATTATCAAGGAGGATCCTGTGTGAGTTCGCTCAAACACGATATCCCGATTCGCTACAGCGCTGGGACTTCAAATGGGAGAAGGAGGGAACTGGAAAGAGATCGATCCAATCGGCACTTTCCCAGGGGTCCAGCAGCTCGCTAGAGCGTGTTCATGCACCCCACCATGGCATGGCCACAAACTGAACAGGCTTCTGGAACTCTTACCCGCGTGCTCCATGACAGCTTTTCGACCTCGAGCCGCGATGCATGAGCTCTGCTCTGTCCAGCCTCCTGCTGCACGGAATCGCTAGCTCCAGAGCCTTGTTGCCAGCAGCTTCTCTCCTACCCCAAAAGGCGCTCCCCAATATTCAACAATGGCCTCGCGTTTCGTCTCCGCCGGACAGATCGACGCCGGCACAGGCGACGCCGTCTCCCCGCCACGGGCGACAACCACACAGGACCCGTCTTCCTCAGCAGTATCCTCGCGCAAGCAGGCAGAATGGGCCGCCGTCCAAGCCCAGCTAGACGCCGAGAAGAAGCAGCGCGAGGAGGCACAGAGGGCCGCCAATGCCGACGTGGGCCCGAACGGCGAGCGCTCGCTGTACGACGTGCTGCAGGCCAACAAGGCAGCCAAGCAGGCGGCGTTCGAGGAGGCCAACAAGATCCGTAACCAGTTCCGCGCGCTCGACGACGACGAGATCGAGTTCCTTGACGGCGTGCGCGAGAACAGTCGGCAGGAGGAGGAGCGTCGGCGCATCGAGATCGAGGAGGGACTGAAGGCGTTCCGCGAGGCGCAAGCCAAGGGGGCCCACCAGGCACCGCAGGACGACGACGAGGGCTGGAACGAAGCGACACAGGAACTGGGCGGCGGCGGCGACGAGTGGGCCGTCAGCAGCCGTAAGCGCAAGAGAGAAAAGGAGAAGGTGATCAAGGGCATCAAGAGGCGGACAAGCTCCCTGGGCAAAGACGGGGAGCACGGCGCTGCAGAAAAGCCTCCAGCCAGCCAGAGTCGCAGCAACAAGGGTGAAGAGACCAGGTCAGCCAAAGAAAATGGGCTCCCAGAAAAGCCGGCCGAGAAGGATGCCGCTACCGCTGTCCCAGCTGCCCCAGCGGCAAAGCCGAAAGCTGGCCTAGTAGATTATGGTTCAGATGATGACAGTGAGTGATGGATCATATTGGCTCAAGACAGCCATGCAGTCGAGCGTGCAAAACACGTTGCGAACATGTCATAGGCATGGGAGGCGCATACGTCTGTGCAGTACTGGCGCTACCATATATCGCAAAACATAATAAGTATCCCAACGAATCGACCGAAGCAAGCAGTTATGACTAGCTTAAGGGACTAGCTTTACGCGATCACAGCACGATAAAGAGGGCGATATTATCAGCAATATCAATTGCTCTAGGTAGCCTCCATAGAATGGAGGGCAATGGCGTCACTCGTCTAATCTGAGACGCCCTGTGATGCCTTTGGTATAAAATACAAACAATGATACAAGCCAATCCCTTTCCGTAGACAGCTGGTGTCAACCTGTCCATAACCTAAACGCCGCAACCTCGAGAACCCGCATGGGCAACATGACATGCAAGCCCCTGCTCATTACTGCATCATAGAGTACGGAACAATTGCCTTATCGATCGTAGGCGTGCGCCTAGACTTGGCCTCTGTCTCGGTACCCCATTTCTTATGCCAAGCTTTCTCCTGTGCAAGAGCCTCGTCGAAGGCTTTGCGGCACTCAGGGGGCAGCTCGTTCTTGATCTCCTCGCTGATAGCGGACAGACCGCGGAACGGCGCCAAGAAGTCACCAGCCATCGCGTTGTTCTCGGCAGCAATAGCCACATCGGGGCCCTCGAAGGTCGCAGGGGCAATGCCTGTAGGTGGAGTCTTAAGATATGTGTCGGTGACCATGAAGTTACGCGCAACGCTGGGCTTCAGCTGAGGGAAGACTTGTGAAGACGGCTCCTCTGCAGAATCTGGATCAGCAGGCGGGACCTGCACGATCTGAGCATGGGTTGGTTGCATGTTGGCCGGGTACTGCATGGTATTTGTGTGAATGTCATAAACGCCATTCTGGTTTTGACGGCGGATGGCGTTGATCTGCGAGTTGAACAGACTAGACATAACGGTCAGCAATTGAAGGCGAATCTAAACATCTATGGTTAACTTACGATGCCTCACGAGCATGCTCCAACTGCCAGTTCACGTCATTCACCGCAACTCGGCGTTTCTTGACATCGACCTTTCCGGTTTGCGCGGGGACTGCTGGGGCACTGGTGTGGTAGACAGCACTGGCGCCATGCCAGGCGACATACTGGTTCTTGTTGTAGGGCTCGCCAGGTATGAATTTGTCGTTCGGATCGGCGAGCTCGCCCTCCACGGCACCTTCCTCCTTGGCACGTGCGATATCGTAGTCGTCGATGATGCGACGTCCGCCAACGACGATGAGGGCGCCAAACTCACGGAAAACTGATCGCGCAGTGACGATACCGATGGAACGGCCTTTGTAGGAGTGAGGAATGATCTCGCGCTCGATCATGTCGCGCTTCTCGTCATCGTCGATGATGATCTTGCAGAGCTTGCGGTGCTTGGTGAAGAACAAGTACGAATCTCGGAATCCGACGCAACGGGCAGGCTCGGTAGACAACATGTAGAGGCGGTCTCCGCGACCGAGGACTGTGAATGTACGGCATCGATACTCGCGATCGCCCAGAAGGTTGCCAAGCTTGTCCACCTTGGTCTCACCTTCAGGATCCTCGGGAAGATCGACCTCGTCGTTGATGATATCCATCATGTTGCCGTCCTTGTCGATTTGCTGTTGTGTGACTGGGGCAGGTGCACCTTTGCGACCGCCGCGACCGCGCCAACCACCTCGACCACGTTTGCGCGGAGTAGCGTCGGAATCGCGAGCTGGAGTCTCGATGCCTAAATCCCAGTCGGGAGGCTTGTTCTTGGGAGGGCGGCCGAGGCGCTTTCTTCGGATGACTGGCTCCGGAGGTGGAGTGGGAGATTTTGCAGACTCTTCTTCTTCGCCAGCTTCTTCCTCGGCCTCGTCCTCGGCGTCTTCGTCTTTGGCCTCTTCCTCAGGCTCGGGTTGGTCCTTTGTATCGGGCTCCGCATCGGGCATGGGCTCATCGTCGTCATCAAGAGCTTGCCATGTCTTCGGGGTGCTCTCTAAAATGTGAAAGAACAGTCAGCTAGATGCCCTTGAGGCTGGTTCACGGACAGCTCCTTGAGCGCTTGCATGATGCTGCGCCCTGACACATGAAATTGGATCACATCTCTCTCAGATTGGCACAGCAGGCATTTTATGAGAGACTGTTTGGGCGCCAGCCAATCGTGCTCACAACGAGCTCAAATGGCAGGGGAGAAGGGAGTCCGCAAGTTGCTTACCAAGAGCTGCAGCTGCGCGCCTAGCGGCAGCACGGCCAGAGCGACGACCAGCCATGTCGACAGTCAAGACCAGCTGAAAGGGCAATGTCTTGTTGCCTTGTTGTGGTGGATCGTGAGGCGGGTATGCTGTCGGCAGGGACAAGGAAAGATGAAGGTGTCGGTCGCCCTGTGAAGCGACAAGGCTGAGGTTGACAGACAAGCTCAAAATTACGAGACGCGCTTTACGGGAATTTTGGCGCCTGCACACCCCTGTCCGGAGGATGGAATATTCCGCATTTAGTGGGGCCAATCCACCACTGCTCAGGTACTGCATGGACCACCCTCCCCAAGATCTGCACCCCAAGAGCTCCAAGGCTGCCCTTATTCTGGAGAAATCTACTAATTCAATGACATAGATCATCCACACGAGTCACTGTCTCATATATTCAAAAGCATTGAAGTTCTCAGCTTCCTTAATTTAGTAATTTGTTTGTATGTATTTTATAGCATTAGTAGGCTAAGGTTTCTCAATAGAGTTGCCAACTCTGACTTACCAGTGTCATGACATCTCAAAGCTCATTCATTCGGGAAGATTAGTCTGTAGTTTGGGGTATCTGGCAGCAGGAAGTGTATGGCCATTGTCGACAGCTTCATGTATCTCATGAATTCAAGTAATATAAGGATAGGGTCCTACCTGGAATGTCGGCTAGCAAGATCAACTCTGTTGTTTGTCGTGGAGAACAAGGGTTGGTCACAAGCAAGAGGACTAAGGCTTCAGCAATGATGCTTTTCTCATCTGCATCTACCTAAGACCCTGATGTTGATTAACCAGCCTCAACAGGCGAAATTCCGTCAAAACCATGCAAAACGCGGAGCATGCAGAATCTGTTTTTATCTCCACAGCAGAAAGACAATGCCACAACCATTTCCTTCATGAGAAGGAGGTCCCTCGAAAGCCAGTCTGATAGGAAATGTAACGAAAACTCCTGTTGCTTTGTTGTCGATTATCGCAAAATTAAGAGACAAGCCGGTAAAAGGGATCGATCTCGGGTCCAAACCCAAGTGAGAGACGTCGCAGAATCGCAGATTGATTTCGCAGTCTGTCTTGCTCTAGGCGACAACCTCAGGGCACAGCTCTGACCCCAGCTCTAGTTCCAGCTCCGACTCCAGAGTGGGTTGCTTCTTGAACTTCTTAGCCGGCAGTTCGGGCAACTGCTGCTCCCACTAGTTGGGCGGCAGTTTGTCTAAGCTGGCCTTGACATTCGGCAGCAGGTCCGCAGTGATCAAGGTCTCTCGGGCCTGGTACAAGAAGCGATATGCCGTCTTGATTGTGCCGTCGCTGACACCTGCAATGTTGGCGATCTCCTTGGAAGTCTTGGGCTCGCTGATCAGGTGGCTCGCCATGTAGATGCAAGCAGCAGCAACAGATAGAGGTGAACGACCTGCCAGGTCCGGAACAGATGAGGTCTTGGCAGCGAGAGCCTTCGCAACCTTCTCAGCCAGAGCTTGGTTGCGGATACCCAGGTTGGAGATGTAACGGGTGACCAGATCAGAAGCACTCGTTGAAGAAGTGGACTGGAAGCCAGCCACGTTCTGAATTGAGATGAGAGAACCAGTGGGATCCTCCATCTGCTTCTTGATCAGGTAAGACTCCAGCTGCTTAAAGACACGCCCAATCTCCTTCTTGGACACATGGGTCAAGTTGTAGATCTCACGGAAGGTACGTGGTGTGTTGTTGGAACGACAAGCGATGAAGATACATCCGGCGATGATCGCTTCCTGAGGCTTGCCCTTCATCACCTTGCCGTCCTCGACCAGCTTGTAGATATGCTGTGCGGAATCACGTACGACGTTTCCAGCTTGCAGAGTGTCCACGAATTGCTTGATTTGCGCAAAGCCCTCTTTCAAAGCCTTCGAGCCCTTCTCGACGGTCTTGTTTTGGGCGCGCTGGAGGTGGAATGCATTGGAGCCATCTCGACCGATGTTGGTCTGTAGAGTGCCAACGCTGTCCTCGAAGAGCGGATTACCAGCATCACCGACACGGGAAGGATCATCATTGTTCTGGTCGTCATTCGCGAACGTACGCCACTCGGATCGAGTGTCGACGATACGACCAGGAACAACGAGACCGCAAGTTCCACAGACAAGGTCACCGGAAGAGAACTCCTCAACCAGATTGGGAGGGAACTCCTTGCAGTCCTGGCACATGACGATGTTGTCGAGGTTTTCCTTAAACTCCTCGGCGGCCGAAGAGCCGGAGCCCAGAACGTCCATCATCTTGTGACCGTGGTGTCTCGAATGGTTGATAATCACCTCGCTGAAAACAGGGCGACCCTTAGTCGTCGTCTCTTTCTTGGAAGCTTTCTCTTCCTTTGAAGGGGTAGATCGAATGATCTTCTGCACCTGAGGCTTCGACACACGAAAACCTTGATTGATCTTCGCTTGCTGTTGCTTCGGGGTGTAGATGTTGTTTTGCGCGTCAAATCTGGGTCGCGACTTGGCTCGCTTCTCCTTCTTGAGGTTCACTCGATGTCTGGCAAGAGCCTTTGCGACACGAGTGGTGGGGATGGTGGTGTTGTCGGCAAGGTTGCCGATAGCAAGTTCGCGGAAGAGTTGTGAATGCGTCTTGACGGTGTCAAACGGCCGCCGCTGCGTCGCGACAACCGAGTCTTACGCAAAAATCGAACCCTGAATCTCCCGCTGAGGATGTCGCTGAAATGATTTGGGATGGAGATCGTGCGCTGTCTTACTCGATGGGTGACGTCGCAGGAAGGGATGGTGCAGAAGAAACAGAGATGAATCTCGGATCTCTCAGGCCAAAGTGAAAGTAATGCGAAACACGTCGCCAAAGACGGGGAAACAAAAACAAGATATCAATGAAGGAGAGTGCTCTACCAGCCGCCCGACAGACAGTTCGTGACCAGTGAAGGTGTCTGAACAACGAAAAGCGGACAATCGCCTTTGATCGTCCGCAATCAAATCGCTGCGCAGAACAAAAGAACTTTGTCGGTCGGGAGAATCGCCTTGTCTACCGCTCGAGATTTGACCGGCAGCTCTGACGAAAAGGTTGACGGGTGTCGTAGGACGTTGGCGATGCTGTTGGCGGAGAGCGAGTGACGAGGTTGGTGGAGGGAGGAGATGATGAAGATGGGAAGATGAGGCTGACTGTGGGCAAAACCTGCGAGAGTCACTTGTACGCCGAATCTTCCAGGCTGCGACAGAGGCTAGAGCACGTGACGGCAAACTCAGAAGTCGGTCGAGACTAAGGTGATTATTCAGCGTGACCAGAGCGCGAAGCCGCTAGCCCTTTCTACTCTAGTTTGCACCCCAGACAAGCCTGGCCTGCGAACAACCTCTGCAGCGAGACTACGCTGTCACCGCTATCCTTGGGCACAGCGGCCAGTCGACTGGGAAAGGCTCAAACAGAAATTCCGTGTCAAAAGCTCTTCGAAGAACCCCCACATCTGTGTCAGTGACGGTTTTACTGACAAGTCTCTCTAATATCGCTCCGAAGTCCGCGATCATTAGCTAAGCAGGTGTCCAGGGCTCGGCTTTAGGTTGAGGTTGACCCTCAGGATTCAACACCAGCCGGCAATTATAGCTCAAATCCTAGAACATAAGGCTTGTTAGCTCCGGTAACTGCTGGAAGGAGTTGCAATTGTATGTTTCGATGCCCAAACATGTAGCAATGTTCAATATGATACCACTACGGATATGAATTATTGTTCAAGTATGTCTTATAAAATGGGCTGCCGAGAAGCGGAAAAGGGGCGCCTGAGAATTTGTCGCCAGACAGCAACCATACAGCTTCTTGCCATATCTTCACTTCAAGATACTTTCATATCTGTTTGATTATTCAATTGCGGTGTCTTTTGAGACGTGAATTGTACAACTATCGTCAAGATGGCGAAACTCACCCCTGAGTCTACCGTCACGCTCAACACTGGTTACAAAATGCCAATTATAGGACTTGGAGTAAGATTCTCTACCTCTACGGCATGTAAGAGAATGCACCAGCTGACTCCTACCCTAACCAGACCCCTCCTGATGTCACCGAGTCTCTCTGCACCGACGCCCTCAACGCAGGCTCCAGACACGTACGTGCCCCAAGTAATCCCAGACCCCAAGCAAGAAACTTCCAGTATAATCTCTCCATACTAACAGCATCCCACAGATCGACTCAGCGGACTGGTACGATAACGAAGCGGGCTGCGGTGCCGCCATCCGCGCTGCGGCATCGAGTATCCCCCGCGAGCAGATCGTCTTCACGTCCAAGGTGCCCTACACCAAGATGAGCTACGAGGCGGCGCGCGACGTGGCCGTCCAGGCCTACTGCCCGCTGCCCGCTGGTCCGGGGCAAGCGATGGGGCGAGCCGGTGCTCCAGGCGCTGGCGGGCAAGTACGGTACGGCGTCTCGGACGGAGGCGCAGGTGCTCCTGCGTTGGGAGCATGCATGCAGAAGGGCTTCGTGCCGTTGGCCCAAGAGCGTCAACCCGGAGCGCATCAGGGCTAATAATCGATTTGTTTGGCTTTGGCTTTTTCCTTGACGGAGGAAGAAGTCGCCGAGCTCGAGACAGGTGAGTTACTCGTCGGCGCTATGGGACCCAACTGTTGAGCCCTGGAAGAAGTAAGATGTGTCTGCATTTAGATGATCGAGAAGCCCTTCGCCTAGTTAAGACTGTAGCATGCAGAGCCGAATAAGTGTATTAAAGCATTTCAGACAAGGCAGCACGGTATTCACGCAAAGATACGGACGTAGATGTGGTAACTTTTCAATTTTGTTTTGTGGTTGGGGGGTTATTTCATCTAATAATCCGATTATGACCTGCGATACCTGTCTCAAGTGATTGGACCAGGCTCATCATCAACAAAGGATTCAAGGAAATCCACCTCTCCAGCTATCACCACAGGTCCGAGTAGACGGTGCTTGCCCGTGCTTGCCCAGGTCGCTGGGCGAACCACGGGTATGCACCATGAGATAATACATGCTCGGCCATTTTGTTCTTCCTCTTGATGCTCAGCCCCTTCCAATCTCGAACTAAGGCGTGTCCTGCCTTTCCCTGAAGTCCCCCAAATTCTGTCATCGTTGCGTCGTGAGCGTGGAACTTGTTTAAAAATTCGTCCACCTCGTCAATACCAAGAAAACCATTAGAAGCCGCAACAAACGGTAAAATAAAGACCAAGCCAGCCGAAAACCCCCTTTTCTAGTGCATGCCGTTTCGAAAAAGCAACCTCTAAACCTGTGTCATGCCCTGAATGTAGAAAATGCGAGTCGGAATGCCCCTGACCACTATCCACGAGTTAAACCTAGACCGAGGGCCGTGGTTTACCGATGAACCTAATCTCGAGGCATCCTCGACAAAGAAAGAATTCGTCGATAAGAATGCAAAGAAAGCCCCCCCAATTTTGTTCCACTGAACGCGATGCATCGAAGAAAACGACCGTGCCGCCGTTCCACTTTTCATCCTCGGTCCGAAAGCGAAAGAAAAAAAAAATCCAAGCTTTGAAAATAGCAAGAGTATGTACCGCATTCCAGCAAACTTTTAGATGGGATGTTGCAGATGATCTTTTTCCGAATCCGCCCAGCCTCGAATAACCGTGCAATCTGAAAACGCCTTGCTGATGCCACAAGGTGGCAGGCTTCTAGGAGTATAGCCATCGACCGACGACGAGCCGCGGTGCAAGATGACTATCTGCCATAAAGAATCGAAGACGGTCTGTGTGCCCAGAAAATAATTACAAGAAAAATTTAACTTCGTCCTGATCTCGACACAAATGGAAGTCGATTTGAGCGATTGTGATAATCGGGCGAGTAGCGCTCTGGAGCTGGGGTGCAGGGTCTGGTTCATTTGTTGAGTGTTCGTTAGGAAGCTTACCACAATCCAAGTCCAAGACAAGCGTCAATTGGATGTCGTCGACTGTGATACGAACATTTGCTGGAAAAAATTGACAAATGAATGACCAGAGCCGCTTGTACCGCCAGTGAACGCATTCAAGCTGTGTAGGTGCAGCAATCTATGTGAGGGAAAACCGAAACCGAAAAGCCGATGGTATAGATCCAAAAATAAACGCCGGGCGATGATATATTACCGAGTCGCAACCCAAGGAAAGAAGTAATTGTTCACGATCATTAGATCAATAAAGCAGCGGACACGTGGCTGCTGATGTCATCGAAGGGCAATCTGGTCGGCGCGCGACCGTCATGCCAAACGAGAACGTCGAAATATAGCCCGCGCTGCAAGTCGTAGAGACAGAGTCTCGAAATCGTAAGGATGAGTTGAAGGCCGATTAATGATGTTGTCCAAGTGGACGACTAGTTGGTCCTTCTTTGGCCGTGGGGTATCGAATGCAAATTGAATCATTCTTCCAGCGTGATAACCAAGCCCTCACCAATGAAAATGCAAAGCTAAACTTTTTGTTGTCATGCGTTCTTAACATGGCAGGATGTCACCATGGACACGGGATCAAACGGCTTAGCCCATCACCGGCTGCCCATAACCCTGAGGAGCCATGTGGAAGTACTGCTGAGGCTTCCCGTGAATTGGTCCGACGCAGTTTGCGCAGTTGCAATCCGCGATACCATGTTCCCAGATACTCGAGCCGTAGTTGTAGTAGCCAGAGAAATTACCATGTCGAGCAGAATGATGGAACATGCCTTGTCCAGGGTTCTGTCGCACAGATCGTTGAGCGTGGATGCCGTTGCTTGCAGCCCGATTGAAGAAGTCGCCGTAGTACTGCGTGTTGGCAGACGTCGCACAGTTCATGTACTCAGGCGTACCATATCCGGAGTCAGGAGGCGTCAGAGGTGCTGCGCTTGCCCATCCCGGTGCCTGGTACTGATTCCACACAGCCTCATGAGGTCGATAGGTTGTCTGCTGAACATGTTCGCTACGCTTCATGCTCGAAAGGCGCTCGTACTCCGCGATCTGCTGCTGATGCCAGGAAGAGTAGGCAGGATGCGTGCGTGAGTGGACGTCGGTCTCGATTGGTGGGACGAGGGCGGCCAGTCGCTCTCGGCTGGCCTGAGCCTGTTGTCTCTTCTTGTTCTCCTGCCACTCTTGCCAGCTGTTGAGCCACGCGTTGTAATCCTTGCTCTTATCCAGGTTGACATAGAGGCACCAGTTGATTGCACCAAGCCACTCGTGTTCCAACGAGTTAAGCTCCTGCACAGGAATGCCGCTCACTTCAGACCATGAGCGATTCTGGAACGTGTTGTCGTCGAGGAACTTGCTGCCGAGAAGCAAGGCAATGGTCAGCATTCGCCAGACCTGACCCTCGGTGGTCTTGAGCGGACCAGCAGCGCTCAGCATGTTCGTTCGCTTGGCGAGATAGTTCATGCCGAGAAGGATGGTGGTACTGGGAAGACGGGTAGAGGTGAGGATCTGAGAGACGAATTTCCGGAAAGGGGCTGTGACGTGAGACTGCGGCATGACCAGACGCGTGGCCATCTCCGCAACGTATTCTGCCATCTGGTCGACCTCATAGTCGAGGACAGCACAAACACCTCCAGGCATGATGGCGGTTGGAAGTAGAGAACTTGAGGAAGAATTCTCAAGTTCTCGGGGAGAAAAGCTCGGGGGCTGCTTCGAGCACCTGGAAAGTACAGCTCAGCAGGGGAGGGCAGAGTGCCGCTACTTGCTGGCGAGTGTTTCCAAGGCTGAAGAGTCGTGAAATCGCCGAAAGACGAGGGAGGGGGGAAAGTAACACAATTACAGAGACGACCGATCCATGAAAGCGTGAAGTAGCCAAGATCCGGTTGAAAGGTCTAAGCAGAAACGGCGAAAAGAGATTCGATTCCGAATATATGTAGAGCGGCGATGCTCAAGAAAGATGACAAGCCGATTCGTCTGGTGTGAGGTGTTCTGAGCCGACAGAAACCACTCGCTGATTCGGAACAAGGTTGTTGAAGTCGTTAAAGTAGGACGCAAAGGCAAAGACACCGAACCCGAGAAGTCCTCCGCAAGGTTGCCGTGAAGAAGTGTCAGGTGCTCGTAGGAAGAGATTGTATGCACTATACAGTTGTCGAATTATTAGTCAACGCGTTCGTTTGGCTTCTTGCAAAACAGAATTCGCCAATGAATCTATTGGGTGAACAGTCGGCCAGGGGGGGGGAAATAATAACGACGGGTGTGGCGGATTTTGAGGATGTTGACGTCGAGGAGAGGAGGCGTGGAGAAGACGAGATGTGTATGGATGATGGATCGAGGCGAAGGGGACGCTGGAGATTACAGTGACAAGCGACTGTGGCTGGTCACCGGTCTCTTCAATGTCGTCGTCGTCAACGTCGTCGGAAGGAAAAGGTGAAGATGGTCCCAAGAAAGAGTTGAGATGAGTTGGAGTTGTCCTCCTTTCTGGGGGTGAGGATGAAAACCAGAAAGGTGGGAAGGTAGGTAATGTCTCCAGGAGGATGGTTTTGTGTGTGTCGGGGTCGGTCGGGATCTAGCAGGGACCGTAGGGGTTGTGGTGTGGTGGTGGCTCCTCTCTCGCTCTCTTCGTCTCTCGCTAGGCGGACAGGGATAGGGTGGATTAGGGGACGGAGACCAAAACAAACCAGGTCCAGGTCCAGGTCCAGGTCCAGGTGGTAGGCAGGCGAGGCAGGTCCTGGTCCCTAGCTCGCGCCTTCGAAATTGTCGAAATTTCCGGAGTCGCCCAACGAAAAAAAAGACGCTGCACACCATAAAGAGAAAAAACAAGGGACCCGGAGCCGGCAACAGGCGAACTTATTCGGATAGAGAGAGAAGCAGATGAAGTGAATGAAGTAGAGTAAGTAGTGACTAACCTGATGGATGAATGGGGAGGCGGATGCAGCGGCTTTGACGGATGCTGGATGCTGGATGATGAGGATGATGATGAGGATGCTGCTGCTGCTGTGTGCGTAATCGTTCTCTTTCGTAGTACCGGTAGCTGCTTAGAGCGCTATGCTCGCCCTTTTTTGGGGTGGTGTGTGGTGGTGACTCTCCGGGGCGGTGGCCACACAGAAAAACGCACTGGCTGCTGCTGGCTTGGCTGGCTGGCTGGTTTTCCGAGCAGGCGTAAAACGTGCACAGCAACGCAACACACACGCGGAGAAAAGGAGCGGGATACGCTACGCTAGATGAGATATATCTCTTTCTCGTCGTTGCTGTCGAAGGTCGAAATGTGCAAGCACCGGAATCCCTGACGTGGACGACACAAAAGCGAATTTGGCCGTCGTCGAGTTTGATCGTTCGAGAGGAGATTTCTGGGAGGATTCGGCGTCCTTGACAAGACGGAAAGATAGAGAGAGAGAGGAATACAGGCGTGGAGAGGAGGAGGAGGGGAGTGGCAAAAGAGAAAGAAGATCGAGTAATAAGAGAGAGATGGAGACGGGGGATGAAGAGATGAATTGAGAGCAGAGTAGGTAGAGTAGTAGAGTAATACCTACCTAGTAATAGACCGGGGTTTGGGGGGGCGGATGAGCATGGGATGGGATGGGATGGGATGGGGGATGGGGAGCAATGATGATGACGACCACCACCAGCACCAGCACCAGCAGTGACCACCGGCGACCAGCGGCGACAGCGGTACAGTACACCACAGTACCCCCTACACCTACCTAGGTATAGGGGAGGATGGGTGGACAGACCACGCCTAGGTACCTCACTACGGGGCCCCCTAATGTAGGAGGTTCCTTAGCAGAGGTAGAGTAGGTACTTTCTGCACGCTACACCTGCAGTACGAGTAAAAAAGCCCAGCAAGTCCCAAATCCAAGTCAAATCGACTCGAATTGGTCCTGGGCGGCGGCGGATGGGACGGCGAGATTTGCTAATATGGGACAGGTATGGAACTGGATGGGATGGATCCAGTGGGCGGTGGGCAGTGGGAACTGGGAACTGGGAACTGGCCAGCCAGTGGGGAGAGACAACCTGACTGCCTGCGTGATGAATGACCAGCAACTCAGACGCCTCTCGTGCTACAACTGACTAATCCAAGAGTCACTCAGCCGTTCAAGGTACTTCAGAGCCAGGGCAGGAATAGCCCCATTTCCGCCGTCATGCAAAGTATCTCGCTGCAATGTGCTACCTGGGAAAAAAGTGTGTCTCTTGGTGTGGTGGTAACGTTAGTGGTGGTGCTGGTATTCTTTAGCCTTCAAAAAAGATCTTTCTGGCGCCTGTCCACTCTTCCACTTATTTTGTCCTTCTCCTCCTCCCTGCACCCGCTAACAAGTACACTACGGCCTACTACGCAGTAAGTACTTCGAGAAGAAGAGTGCGGAGGCATACATAGGCAGAGGAAGAGGAGGAGGCGTGCTGTGCTCTGTGTGGGAGGAGGCAAGGAAAGGAAGGTGGCCAACCGGGCCAGGGAGGGAGTGCGAGATGGAATTTGCCCAGACGACACACCCCCTCTCGCCCTCGCCTTGACTCTCCTCAGAGTCTCCTGAGTCCTTCAGAGCAAGGGAGCAAAAGAAGGAAGGGGGGGGCGTGTGGAAGTGTGTCAAATCGGTGTGGTGTGGGAATTGCACAAAAATGGCCGGGCTCACAGTCTCGAAGCCACCCAGCCTGAGCCAGCCAACCAGCCTAACACAGGGAAAAGCAGGATGCTCGTCGATCACCGCCCGCACCGCACCATACCATGTACCATGCTACACGCCAGCTGCGTGTGGTACTTTGTGCAGAGAGAGCACAGCCTTGCACCTGGCGTACCCGATCTGCCTGCACTGCACCTCACCAACGTTGGAAGCGAACTGATCTGGTCTGGCTGACTGCTCTGGCTGACTGGGCAGGCATTCCAATTCTTCCTGAGAGACACCTCCGGGCGCGTGGCCCGCAATCCACACACCCCCGAATCACTCCCCAGCGCTGTTGCTGATGAGGTCGATGTGTGCCCGCCCTGCATTTCCATCAGGATGGGGCGGTCCGGCTACCTGACTGGGGAGAGTGATTCTGACTGCTCCCTATTGAGGTAGGTCACCTCGTAACGTACCTCCGCCAGTGCGGTACTGTACATCCTTCAGGTGTTTTCCCAAGGCAGAGGACAGTTGCATCACAGATCCAACATGGACATGCAACAAGCAGCCTGTGATCTCTCACTCTGACCTTCCACCTCGGACACTTGGAGTCTCGGTTGCCCCAGCCTGCCGGTCTTCCGGCAACCTACGGGGCCCTCCAAACGACGTAGTCTCGTAATCTTTTTCCGCCAGTCGGTAGAGCGCTGGGCCATTTACTCTACAGTGCTGAGTGCTGCTCAACGGGCTGTCTTCTTCCATTTCGTCCAAGATCAGCCTGTCCCGTTGTGCGAGGAACATGTCGCGCTACATTGCCTTGAAATTGTCGAACGGTTAAAATCGACCTCGGTTGGAGAGAAGTGTCCCAGCAATCTCGAAGTAGCGGTACTCGGCGATGCAGACCTGCAGATGAGCTGTACCCACCGAAATTTGCACAATTCCACCGCTTAAACGCGGCCGTCTTGGGCTCTCTGGCTCTTCATCTGGCGGTGGAGATGACTGAGGGATATTTTGGTCCTGTATCGGTACCTCAGCGACCAATCTGCTTGGCGAGGCTTGGGCTACCTTCTGCAAGTACCTCGCTGGGGAAATCTGGCGTGCATGCCAGTCCCAGTCAGGTAGTCTACCAGAGTGGCCAATGTGCGTGCACTCTACGGCGTATACAGTTCATTCATTCATTGCTTCTTCCTCTGCGCCCGCCTGTCATATCGTATGTAAGATGCATCCCTTCGCTGCAGACCGTCTGACGGCTTGCACGGCCAGCCATTGGGAACGGCGCTGCATGTCGCTCAGTCAAAGGGCGACAAGGGATGGCGGAACAGAGTCAGCGAACAGACGTGCCGTGAGGATCAGCCGTGACTCTTTTTTCAGGACATCTTCCATCTAACCGTTCATGTCTGATAGCTGATAGCTCCGTCTCCTGTCACGCCTGTCTCTCGCTGCGGCGCCTGCCCATCACATTTTCCAGACAGACAGGCTGTCCTTGAAACTAAAGAGAGGGCGGAGGCGTGTCTCGAGGGGCACTCCTGGTGTGGTGGTATCCATGTATCTTCTCTTCCGCGATCCGCGCGTCCCAGACTTAACAAGTTTAGCGTGCCAGAATCCCAGAATCAGGGTCTTGGGCTCGTGAGGTACCCCTTGTGCCTGTCTCAAGCAGATTGATACTTCGAACCGGAGCCTGGAGACCGGCCGGTTGTAATTCAATATCTTCAACTCAGAAGGCATCCAATTTCGACACATATCCCTGGCCATAACTGTGTCATGAATGACTCCGAATCATTGAAATCAGTTGCCTAAAGGTATTCGCGTCGTCTCATGGTATAGATCGATGAATAAGGAGGAGGAGGCTAGGTAGCCATATCTTTCCATTCATTCTCCAGGCACTCCGATACGTCCATGGCAATCTGGCACCATGAAGCAATTTCAGTATAGTATGGTAGACACGCGATTTGAGTCTCTATTCACCTAGTTACTAGTTACTAGGCAGGCTAGGACCTCATTGCGCAAATGATCCCCTTGATGATTGCTCCTCAAGCACTCTTTATTAGGGCA